GGGAAGCACGTCATGGCAGAGGGTATTGGACGCTCCCAGACGGGACACCCTCTACACACCCCCTACTGCCAGCCAGACTGGTTCAACTTGAGAAGAGACCCAGTGAGTGACCTCTTAGCCTGGCTCTTTCCCCCTTTCCTCCATTCTCCAGGAACTGAGGGCTAGACCTGGGTTGTCAGGTTGTCGGAAAGATGAGCCCTGGATGAGGCTTCCAACCCAAGTCAGCCCCAGTGATCCAAACTTGCCCCTCCTCTGAGGGAGGAGGGAGATGAAGATCACAGAAGGTTAGGGGCTTGTCAGTGACCCAGCTCAGGCAGCGGACATCCACACCCTGCCAGCCCAGCCCGTGCCTCACCACCTCTCCTAAGCCCGTGAGGGTCTTTGTGTCGATGTCAGTCACAGCAGGCTGATGCCTCAAAGCTGGACTCTGGTGACTGGTCGGTGGTTGGCATCAAGTCCATGCCGGGCAGCGGCAGAGGAGGAAGGGAGTGAAGGAAGGGTCCTCTGTCTGGACACTCTTGGGTGGGATCAGATTTGGAGAAGGTGTGGTTGCAGTGAGGGAGTCCGAGAAGGCGGAGGGAGACACAGCCACAGCTCTGGATGCCATGTGCCAGGTGTTGGCCGGTGACTTGACCTCATTTCTCCTGCTGTTACTTTCTCTGTTTTACAGATGAGATGACTAAGGTTTGGAGAGGTTAAGGGACTTGTCCAAGGTCCCAGAGCAAGAACATGGGAACTGGATTTGAACCTCAGTCTGTGACTTCGGTGCTTGAGCAGATGCCTTCTGAGCCACATCTGGGACTCTGATTCTGTCCAGAACTGGCTTCATTTATCCCGCTGCCTAGTTGACATCACCGACCAGCTGTCCGGTAGGGGCCTCTAACTCAACGTGCTGAACTCTGAGCTCATTAGCCACCCTCCCCAGCCTGCTCCTCCCTCCTGCAAAAGGTACCTTCCGTCATTGGCTGCCCAAGCCAGCAACGTGGGGATCCTCCCTCCTCCCTTTCTTCCTCCACGTCCAACCAGGCATGAGAGTATGGAATCTGGTCCGTCCC